TCCAGCTACAAAGATGGCAGGTCCAGTTCCCAATCCAACCTGGCAGGAAATTTATTTGGAGACTCAGAGACAGAAACTACAGATAAGCTGATCTGGCCATTTTTGTTTCTTTTTTTTATTTCATCAGCGGCATGTTGGTGGTCTGAAAAAGAAATGAGTTTCTGTGGCGGATCGCCTGACACAGATTCGCCCTCTCCAAAATGAACAGGTAACCATAAACTGATGATGATTAGAATCAATCACAAACACCAAGCAAATTTTAAAAATGGAAAATACAGATTAGGCCTAGCAGTAAAGTTAAGCATTTCTGTAAGGTTCTGAAAGAGTTGCAAATGGTATTTTAACCACTGGTCCCTACAACAACCTTGCAAAGTTGATCAGTGCTAAACTTTCCATTTTAGGAATAGAGGGAACCAAGGCTGAAAGTGAGAGAACATTTTACTTAGCCAGCGTTCCCTCTAAGCTGAGTTAGTGTGAGCTAGCTCACAGTTTTTTAGCCTCTGGCTCACACATTTTTGCCTTAGCTCAGGAAGGAGGGCTCCAGAGCAAACTGATTTATGCAGTAACCAAATCGCTCTCTCACAACTTTAAGACCGCCTCTCACAGAAGTTGGCATACGATGACCCACGTTGAATCACACTGTTCTCATCAGCTTCGATCTGCCACGTTCGTACTGATGGGGGTTTATTTCTCACATGCCAATATGCTAATATCCCACTGGCATCGAAACAACACTGAAAAATGCATTCGTTTTTACAAGAGCAGTGAACCCGAAAATCAACACAAGTGCATTTCTTGCAAGCAAGAAACAAAACCAGACTGGGGGTGTTCGAGCCGAAATTCAGTTTCAACCTTCAGGCTCTTTTTGTAGCAGGAACTTCTTTGCATATTAGGCGACACACCCCTAAGGTAGCCAATCCTCCAAGAGCTTACAGAGCTCTTCTTACAGGGGCTACTGTAAGCTCTCGGAGGATTGGCTACATTAGGGGTGTGTCACCTAATATGCAAAGGAGTTCCTGCTACAAAAAGAGCCCTAAAGTTTGAGTCCAGTGGCACCTTTAAGACCAACAAAGTTTTATCCAAGTTATACGCCCTATCCGCGTTATCCGGCCCGTGTGACCGGGGAGAAAGAAAGAAAGAAAGAAAGAAAGAAAGAA